AAAACAAAAACTTCCAACCCCCCTCAGCCACCCCCCCCCCTTAACTAAAAAAAAATTTCTATCTTCTTTCGTCCCCCCCCCCCCCCCCCCCCCCCCCCCCACATCCTTCCTCCTCCCCACCTCCTCGAGGAAAAAAAAAACCAACAGGACCAAACCGAAACAAAGGGAAAAAAAGAAAAACAAAACCACCAAAACAAACCTAAACCTGGAAGGAAGGGCCCAACACAGGTAAATCTTGGAGAATTGTTTTGCTTTGTTGCAAAGTGCTGTTAATTACAGAGACGCTTAGCGCAGTTCTAATATCTGAGCTGTCAATCCAAACACTGATTTTGCTTTGGTTGCACTTTGCTACTTTGTGCAGTACAAAGGGAAGTGAATAAGTGTTGCAATATGGTATTGTGCAATTCCTGCCTTTTAAATAGAGAATGATCTGCAAGTCTGCATAGGCCTCTCACCCACCAAAATCTGGCCACTGATTTTCGCCGCTCCCACTCTTTTTAATCAGGGATGGGTTTACTGGCTTCTTAAGGTCACAAGGAGAGAAGGGTAGAGATGTTAAGAGGGGGCAGTATCAGGGCTATTCTGCTGTGAAAGGTCCTGAGCCTCCTGGGCCTTAAAACTCAGATCTGTTTGATTAGCTCTAGTTTATTATGTCTCTAGGTAATTTTTAGGCTCCCTGTGTAGGGACTTACCAGGAAAGGTGGCTGGGTTTGTATTGTTGAATAAGTCTTTGGTGAAGTAGCTTTTCAGCTTTCTGTGTTTTTCCATCTGTGGAGTACAACATCCTTCCAGGGCAGTTTCTCTGTTCTGGAGTGGCTCATATAAAGCTGGCTTGTTGTTCCTGCGGTTTCTGCCTAGACTGAAAAATCTCTCTGAGGTTTAGGAGACTGCACATGTGCCCTTGCTGTGTGGTGTTCGAGATGGCATGTTTGTATGACTCAAAATAGAACCCCTGAAAAAGGAGGAGCTCTGGTTAGGTACAACCTGAAATCCATCCTTCTTTGAGCAGTGTGTCTTTCTGCTCAGTTGCACAGAGCAACTAACTCCCATGAGATAAAGGAGGAGAGAGCTGTTGGGCAGTGACCCAGCTTCGAAAATGCTTGGTGTTTTCTGGTTCTTGCTGACCTTCCATGATGCAGAAAACACTTAATGATCTGCAGTACTATAATCACAACACCTTGCAATATCGTGAGCTGGGGCTGCTGCTACTATCATGCAAGTTCTGTCGTCCTCACTGGGATTTGCGCCACATGATAATTAACAGACCAAGTGATTTCCTGAAAACGCAAAGAGGCCCCTCCCTGCTGCATCACGACAAGCATCTCCAAGCTCTCTTTTTGTCCAAAAGGAGAAGTGTGAGCAAACTGCCACTTCCTACAGCTCTTCTATCCAAACTGGTTCTTCATAGTGGCACGAAGGCGTGGCGCTGAAACTTTCTTCTTCAGGGTAGCTGTTCAAAATGAAAGGTGGAGGCAGAGCAGTTCAGATTTGGCTTTGCTCTTCCAGCAGCTTACTTGCTGGAAGTTGGGGGGTGGGTGTCTACCTGCATCTTCTCCTGGGTTTTTGCAAGTTGGGTTTATGTGAACCTTCTTATTCTGCCTTATTAAATTAGCTGGCACAGAGGAAGCCTCTGAGAAACCCATTAAAAATCTCTGCTTTTGGAAGAATATTATAAGATTACAGCATGTGAATAGATTTAAAAGACCAACCAACCAACCAAAAACCACAAAAGCAACCCAAAACAGACAACAAATAACAAATAACCTTCATTCGGATACAATAGATCTTTTTATACCTGATTAATTTTGGGAAGTCTTCAGGCAGGTGTGCTAGCAAGGACGTTGCACACAGATGGAGATGATAGCGAAACAAAATTTAGTAGCTACTCATTTGCTGGATTTGGTCAGGAGAGATTTTCAAGAACACTTCTGAGACCTTTTTTTCTGATGTGGTGAATTTTTTTTTTTTTTAATGTAAAAAAGCTACAGGGCTTAATAGTATACAACTGAGGATTATGTCCATAGTAATTTTTTTACGTTACTTTTGCAAACTGTGTAGTATTATATTAAAAATACTTATTTCTGAGACAAAGTGGACAATATTGGCATCTTGCACTTGTTTAAATGTAAAACTTTTTCTTAATTTAGTGATGTGCTTAGGAGAATACTGTAACTTACTGAATATACAACGATGATAACTGTGTTTACAATAATTTTCAAATTCCTACTGTTCAGTGGTAGCCAACTTGTTTAGGAATTAAAAGTGAGGCATACTGCAATTGGCAATCTTGGAAAAATTAACTCAATGCTGCTACCACTAAATACTGTGGGATGGATAACATGGGTTTAAATGGCAGGAGGATTGTATTCCAAGCCTCTGTCTTAAGTACTTATGACTAAAAGGCGACTTGCCTTGTGCTCATTTATGTATCCCTGTGTGTAGTACATCAGTTAGAAATCTGTTAATGATTGATTTGTAACATTAGAACCTTTATGGAGATCACAGTAGGGGTTTTGTTTGTTTTTGTTTGTGAACAGACACTTAGACATTTTGGAATGTATAACATTGATCCTTGTGCTGGAATTGTTTACATGCAAAAGGTATTTATGATTTTTGCAAACTGCAATGTGCAATTTTGTACATGTGTTTTAAACTAAAGAGTTTATAAGGAAGATATTGTATGTACAGTACTTGGACATGAGTATTATTTCTTTGATATAAATATCTAGAGGAAAATTAAAATTGCTTTATATTCATATTTTTGGCTGTGTTTTTTATTATTTTAGCAAGAAATCTAAAGTTAGCTTAAGACATAGTTGACATTTTGTTGGAAAATCCAAGAAGAATTTTTCGATCTGGGCTTTTAAAAAATATTTTTAAATCATGCTTAATACACTGCTTCTTTTGATTGTGTCAACATTTTGAAGTGCAAGGAGGGAAGAATTTCTTCTTGTAAGAATGCTGCTCTTTGAGGTAACTTCCCTATGTACTAGAACAGTTGCAAGTCAAAAAGTAAACTTTTAAAAACAGCAAAATTGGAGAAGAGACCGATATCACCACCAACTCTGGTGATATCAGATTTCAGGCTCTTGCTAAGAAAAGGTGACTGGAGTTGTCAGCCCTGTGGAACAGGACTCCAGTTACCCATGTCTTGACTTTTCTGTTTCAACAGAAAAACCTTTTTGCCAGTTAAACTGTTCTGACCCACATCTGGAATAAATCTGTTGAAATAAGGCAGTTCTTTTTCTTTTCCCACGAGCACTCTTGTGCACGTTGATACATCTTGGCATACTCCTGAAGGAGAGCTACTCAGTAAACATCACCACGTGCGAAAAACACTTCTGAAAGCTCCCCTGCTCTGGGAAGGCAGCCCTGCCTTCCGGATACATCCTTCCAAAGCAGTGATGATGGGACGGACTGAGTGCCAAGCCCCACCAAGAACGCTCCAAGGATGCCAATTTTGAGTGAGAGCTGAGAAACTCAGCAGTGCTGGTGGTGTTGGCTACGCCAGCTCACAAGCTGGCACACATCTGGACCCTGACCGTTCTCTAGAGTGCATGGGTTCCAGATCTGGCACTGAGGACACAGTAGAGAGAACGTTTTGTTCTGGTTTAGGATAGGAATGCTGGGATTTCAGAAACACGACAAAGTTGGGGGAGTGGGAGGGGAAGAGCAGGGAAGGAAGCTCTGAGCACACTGTAGTTCAGGCTGCTGTATTTTGGCACTTAGGGTTTATGAACACATAATCAGCTTGGTGTGTGGTTGCTGTGACTTCTAAGTGTCAACTGTGCCCCCTCCAGTGCTCTGGGAGTTACTTAATGCTCTTTAATCTCCATGTTGTGCATGGCTGCAGGCCATGTTTCACATGTGCTAGTCAGCCCATTCCTTGCAGACTTCTGCTCTACTCAAGACAGATTTCTTCCTGTGAGAGTCTGTAGCACTATTGCAATAGTCTTGTTGCTTTTCAGATTAATTGCAGACAACAAGATGATGAGAGCCTTTAATGATTTGATAGATGTTTGGGGGTATTGTTAATGTTTTACGTCAATTTGAACTTCAGAGCATAGTTCCATGGAAAAGTGTTTTGAAGATGTGATGTAGGAACCAGTCTTCTTGTTCTCTTTAAGCCTTGAGTTCCTCTGGCTTTAAGTGCCTCAGAATGGTGCCTCCAGAAGTGCTCAGGGAGGAGATAGTTGAGATTGATTGTGCTTTGTTATCCACAGGGTGTGGAGTAAAGTTTGGCTGCTTTGTGCTGGTTGAATAACTTGCAGGATTGTGTTCAGGGGTTTTTATTTCTGAGATGATCCCTTTCTCCTCCATCTCTGCCTCCAGGTTCCTTGCAAGAGTGAAACAGACACGGCCCTTACACAGCTTCCAAAACCAGTGTCCTAATGTAGAACAACAACTAAATAACATAGTTTATTCCTGGGCACTGCACATATTCCAGACCGAGTGAG